ACTCATTCCTTCAGTCACCCAGAGCAACTTCTAGGCCAGCAAGTGCCATTCATTATGAGTGCCTTCTACAGGTGTACTATTTATCTTTTATACCATATTTTTACTGTACTTTTTCTATGTTTAGATACACAAGTACTTACCATTGTGTTAAAATTGCCTACAGTATTCGGTATAGTAACATGCCATACCTGTTTGTTGCCTAGAAGCAATAGGATATACTCTATATGACTTAGGTATGTGGTAGGCTATGCTGTCTATGTTTGTGTAGATACACTATTTGCATTTTCCTCATGTTTAGTGATGTTGAACATTTTTTCATAAATCTATTGGCCATTTGTATACTTTCTTTCGAGAAATATCTATTTAGATCTTTTGCCCATTTTAAAATCAGATTATTTGTGGGGGTTTTTGTTTTTTGCATTTTTTTTTCTTTTTTGGTGTTGAGTTTCTTATATATTCTGGATATTAACCCCTTGTCAGACGCATAGTTTGTAAATATTTTCTCCCATTCTATATGCTGTCTCTTCAATCTATTGATTGTTTCCTTTGCTGTGCAGAAGCTTTTTAGTTTGATGTAATCCCACTTGTCTATGTTTGTTGTTGTTGTTGCCTGTGTTTTGAGGGTTATCCAGAAATTCCTTGCTCAGACCAATGTCAAAAGCATTTTTTCCTGTGTGTTTTTTTTTTCTAATAGTTTAATAGTTTCAGGTCTTATGCTTAAATATTTTATCCCCTTTGAGGCTATTTTTGTAAATGGTGAGAGATAGGGGTCTAGTTTTATTCTTCTGCATGTGGATAGTCAATTTTTGTGATACATCACACTAACAGAACAAAAGATAAAAGCCATATGATAATCTCAGTAGACGTGGAAAAAGCATTTGGTAATGTTCAACATCCCTTCATGACCAAACAAAACAAAACTCTCAACAAATTAGATGTGGAAGGAACATACCTCAGTACAATAAAGACCATGTATGACAGACCCACAGCTAACATACTTAATGAGGACACGTTGAAAGCTTTTTCTCTAAACTCTGGAACAAGATAAGGATAGCCACTTTCACTACTTCTAGTCACATAGTACTGGAAGTCCTAGCCAGAGTAATTAGGCAAGGGAAAGAAACAAAGGACATCTAAATTGGACAGAAAGAAGTCAATCTTCCTGTCTGCAGATGACATGAACTTATACACAGAAAACCCTAAAGATTCTACCAAGAAACTGCTAGAAGTAATAAATTCAGTAAAGTTGCAGGATACAAAAGCAACATACAAAAATCAGTAGCATTTCTATATGCCATAGTGAACTATCTGAAAAAGAAAAAAGCAATCTCATTCACAATTACTACAAAAAAAAGTATCCTATGTTCATGGATTAGAATAATTAACACTGCTAAAATGTTCATACTTCAAAAGTGCTCTACAGATTCAACACAGTCTCTATCAACATTGCAATGACATTCTTCACAGAAATAGAAAACCCTCAAATTTATAGTTTTAGTTCTTACATTTAGGTCTTTGGTTCATTTTGAGTTATTTTTTGTATATGGTGTTAGGTAAGGGTCCAAATTCATTCTTTGAATGTGGACATTGTTTTTTCTTGTACCATTTGTTTAAAAGACTATATTACCGCCCTCCCTCCCACATCCCATTAGATCATCTTGGCACTCTTGTTAAAAATCAATTGACCATAAATGTAAGAGTTTATTTCTGAACTCTCAATTCGGTTGATTCTTTTGATCTATATGGCTATCTTTATGCCTTTATTATTGTCTTCATTACTTGATTACTGCAACTTTGTAGAAAGTTTTGAAATTGGAAAGTGTGAGTCTTCCGACTGTTCTTCTGGTTCAAGATTGTTTTGGCTACTGTGGGTCCCTTGCTTTTCTATATGAATTTTAGGATCAGCTTGTTAATTTCTGGAAAAAAAAGTCGGGATTTTAATAGTGATTGCTCTCAATCTGTAGATCAATTTGAGGATGAGCAATACATTTGATTGTTTTACTGAGTGTCAGAAATATGTTGACTTTGGAAGTAACAAATTAGCTAATTAGAAACATGTCTTTTGGAGTAATGAGAAAGGAATTTGTTGAGCTAGTGCATAATTTAGTGGAGGCCTTTGAAACTCAGACCAAGGCATTTGAATTTTATTAGAAAGAGATTTTTATAGTTTTTTTTCCCTGAAATTGGTTTGCATATGTAGATGATTTTATTATGATTCCAGTACTATTATATTTTCCATACCACTAAAGAGGGCTTTTTCCATACACAAGTGGATGTTTTAAATCAGTCAAAAAGTATTGAATGCCTTTCAAATAGAGTGGCCACTGCTAAGCACTGTAGGAGAATAAAAGAACAGTAACACACACACACACACACACACACACACGGGAGGCTGAGGCGGGAGGGTCACATGAACCCGGGAGGCGGAGGTTGCAGTGACCCGAGATCATGCCACCGAACTCCAGAGCAAGATTGTCTCAATTTAAAAAAAAAACAAAAAACAAAAAAAGGCCAGGCATGGTGGCTCACACCTGTAATCCTAGCACTTTGGGAGGCTGAGGTGGGTGGATCACCTGAGGTTAGGAGTTCAAGACCAGCCTGGCCAACATGGCCCTGTCTCTACTAAAAATACAAAAATTAGCCGGGCGTGGTGATGGGTGCCTGTAATCCCAGCTACTCTGGTGGCTGAGGCACAAGAATCACTTGACCCCAGGAGGTGGAGGTTGCAGTGAACCCAGATTGCGCCACTGCACTCCAGGCTGGGCTACAGAGTGAGACTCTGTCTTAAAAAAAAAGAAAAAAGAAAATTGTAACATACAGCCCTTGCTCTCAGGTACCCTACAGTTGAATGGAGATTAATTATGTTTAAAGAAGTGACATCTGTTATTTATCCTTGCTTGCCTAAGACCTTGAAGCAAAGTACTAAGTAGATCAAGATCATGAGCGATTTCTGGAAGAACAGCTCCCTATTAAAGACTCGGCCTAACCCAGCTTATTATGTAGAAAAAGTGTGTCATTTGCAAGTGAGATAGCTGCCTCAGTGCAAATTCACCCAAAACCCTCACTTGGGAAAAAATCCAGAGAGAAATCCTTACTCAGTAGTGCCACAGTAGTTTTATTTTGAGAACCTTTATTACCTGTAACACTGCAAGTTCCAAAAAGTATTTCTTCTAGTGTTTATAATGTTTCTTTATTCACATAAACAAAAATTTTAAATTTTGACTCTGGTAACTCTATATCCTAAGCAAAGAACTTCCCAGGTAGAGTGGCTATGCGTATGTATCTATTTTAATAATTTGTTTTGAAATGATCTCAAATGTATAGAAAAGTTGCCCAAATCGTGTAAGGAAGTCCCATGTCCCCTGCACTCAGATTCCCAAATAGTTAACACTTTATTGCACTTGTTTCATTGCTCACTGTGTGTGTATGCGTACATGTGTGCATGCATGTGCATATGTGTGTGTACATGTGTATGTATCCCTTGTTAGTCTTTTTCTGGACCTTTTGAGAGTCAAGAGAGCAAATTGTAGAGATAGTTTCTCATCACTCCTGAACACACCAGTGTTTATTTTCCCCTAAACAGGGACACTCTCCTACCTAACAACAAACAAACTTCCTCATCAGGGATTCAATATTGGTACAACATACCATCCAGTTCAGACGAGATCGGGCATGTTCGCGGTGGTATGTGATTCACAGAGCTAATTCACATTTTGCCAACTGTCCTAACAATGTTGTTTTCCTTTCTGGTCCAGAATGCTATACAGAGATACATATTGCATTTAGTTGTCATATAAGCTCAGTCAGAGACAGTTCCCAGTCTTTCCTGTCCTTGGATGGTCTACAACCTGAGTTCCTTTGATGGCAGGAAAACCAAAAGGGATACTTTGTGGATTTTAGTGTGTTTCACCAGGAGGCTCACAATGTAGACTCCTCCCAACACTGATGATGTTAACCATGATCACCTGATCATGTTGGTTGCTTCCATTCAGTGTTTTCCCCTCTGAAATCGAGTAGTATTCCATGGGAGAAGCATTCCAAAATCACCCAGTATTCTATGCCTCACAGAACATCTACCCACCAGCCTTAGCGTCCATTGAACACTCCTGCCTGAGTCATCCTCCTCAGTAGTTGTCAAATGGTAGTTCTCTATTTCCATCCTTCTTGCTACACTTCTGTGTTGGCATCCTACTTCGAAGGAGTTTTCCTGTTTCTCTATATCAACACGGACTTGCATATTCAATGGATTGTAATCCGTTATGGTCGTTGTTTACTTCATGCTCAAATTGTCCCTCATTTGGCCCAAGGGAGTCCCTTCAAGCTGGCTCTTAATACTGCAACAATTTAAAGTATACATATTGCTAAAATTCATCCGCATTGTGCAGTTCATTAACTTTGACTGCCTGTAATATGCCTCTTTGTGAATATGCCACAGTTTATTGGTCCACTCATCCACTATTCCGTCGACGGGCACTTGGGTTGTTTCCAGGTTGTTGCTATTGTGTTTTGCTATTTTAGCTCTTTAATGTTAAATTTTGAATATTAAAAGTTTGTATTAACATCATAAACTTCAGGTCTGTTTATTGTACAAATATTGAGCACCTAGGAGCAGGGTCATTTTGCACTCTCATCAACAGTGCGTGACAGGCTCATTTTTAAAATATTGCATATTTCACGCAGAAATATTTAAATGATGTTTTCAAATCAGTTTAATAAAGGCCTTTTTCTTTAAACTTCCTTATGCTTTTTTCCCTACTATTACGGAGAAATATTGAAATAAAAGAGTCCAGAAAGCAAAATGTAAAGATGGAAACCTGTGCACTTAACCCAAACGCTTGCCAACAGAAACAGCAGGGACTCGAAATGACCGGGCTACAGCCGGCGCTAGGGCGCAGGCGCAGAAGCTCAGGGTCGCGCACCCTGCTCTCGTCCCCAGAGGGTTATCGCGAGTCTTGGAATAAACTTGCTGCGATTGTCAAAAGTAAGTTCTCGCGAGAGGTAGTTGGTTGCTATAGTTGTCAAAAACATAACTGAGGCTGCTGCAGGTAAGACAGCGATCCCTCCTGAAGAAACCCTCTCTTCCCGGCCTCCGCACCCCGGTCCTGCGGCCACACCACAGCCGTCACCCCGATCTTCTGCTCCCTCAGCTAAGTCCAGGCTGAAAACCCCGTTATTTAGACCGAAAAGCCGCTGGCCCGGCCAGGCGCGGACTCTGCCTCCAGCCCCAGCCCGGCGACCTCCACAGGAGCGCGGACGTAGGTCCTCCTTTACCGCTTCTCGTCGTAGGTCTCATTCCGCGCGGACTGCGCTTGTCCCCCAGACCAGACCCAGTCACATCGCCTCTTTCGTCCAACCTTTTTCTCACTGGACTCTCCCCTTGTAGCTTCTTCCGAGCAGATGACAAGAAATGCGTGCCTTGCCGGGGGCAACAAGAGTCCCCACCCTAGCTGCCCTGATCATAACTTTAGTCCTATTTCTTGCATTCATAGTTCAAACACGACGCGAACGCCTCTTGTGTACAAGACATGGTGCCAGGCACTCGGGGCCCGTAAATATGCGTGAAGGTCACATGCCTTCGAAGGTGTAATTGAGCTCTCAGGACAAACGCTGCATATTAATAATATCATTTGTGCAGTGCTTCATAGCTTAAACAGCTTTAATATCTTAGGGGGTATTCACAATGTGAAACAGGTTGAAAGTTATCCATTTTACAGAAGGTGAAACTGAGGCTTAGAGAAGTTAGGCTTTTACCCAGGGGCACATAGTTATTAAGTAGGAAAGGTCCTTTGAATACCCAGTCTTCATAAACAGGACAGCTTGTGGTAATGCCACAAGAGACGTGTAAAGTGCTAAATGAATTCAGAGGAAAGGCAGGTTTTTCCAACTGGGAAGCTTCATGGACTAGGAAGCATTTGAGCTGGATTTTAAAGGATGAGTAGGATTTGCTGTAGAGACGGAGTGAGTAGAAAGGGAGAGATCATTCCAGGGGGAAGGAAAAATGCAAAGGTTCGGAAGTGACTAAATGCAGATGATCTTTGAAAAATACTAAGCAAGAGCATAAGCTAGAAGAGGGGAGTTGACTGGCACTGCAAGATCCTAGAAAGCCCTGAATGTAGTACTACATTTAACTACAGTTAAACTGTAGTGTTACAGTTTAACTTTGTTTGGTAGGTGAGAGGGAACAAGACAGTGGTATGATCAGATCTGTACTTTAATAAGGTAGTTATCTGCTTGTCTCATCTCATTTTCTCCCTATTTCTTCTTACACCACCACTGCAAGCTACTTGCTACTTGCTATGTGTGTTGTTTTGCCTCTGAACGTTTTAAAAATCTGTTGCCTTTCTTGAAATATCCTTCCCTTTACTCTATTGAGACATAGTTCCAGGGTACTTCCTCCAAGATTTTCCTGGCATGCACACGTATTCTCAAATCCAGCTAGGTCCCAGCTTCATGCAGCACTTCCTTGCTGTATGATTGCTGGTACGATAACAAACTTCTCTGAAGCTCAGTTTTTTTCACTCAAACAGAGATTTCAGAATCACTTAGAAGGGAGGCTACGTTTAAGATAATAAATGTGAAGCACACTTGGTACACTGGCTATAATCAGTTAATTTCCTTACTTCTCACATTCTTTATATTTGTAAAAGAAAAAATAAATTTCCACCCCCCTTTTCCTCCTTTCCTCTGTCAGAGCACTTCTTCCCTCCCTTTCCTTCTTTCACTCCTCCCTTCTTTTCCTCTGTCAGAGCACCTGTCTCACAGATTATGACTCCTGGTCTAGTTACACATCTCTCGTCCTCACTAGATTTTAAATTTCTTGAGGTTAGAGAGTTCACATCTTATCTCTTGTATCCTCAGCACCCACCACAGTGCCAAGCTTAACAAAGTTTTTTTCAATGAGCAGTTCTTACAGAAGCGGGATGAGTTAGAGTGAGAAACTGGAGTCAGAGACACCAGTTAGGAGGCTTTTGTTACAGTCTAGCAGAAGGGTAATGAAGGCCTAATGCCATATTTTTGAAAAGGAAAGAAGACTGATATAAAAGGGCATTTTAAATGTACATTTGACAAAGAAGTTGTCAGTGCCACTAAAGCCCTGAAACAGCCCAGAAATATGTTGTTGAACAAATGATCTGAGACTTTTAGGTGTCTGGAAAAATGCTGGAGTAGCTGAGAAGAGGCAGGATAATGATGAAGTCTGAAGGCTGTAAGATGTCGTTTTCTCTTTTGTATCACCAAATACACTTAGCATAGTATGTCCTCAGTAAACGTTTGAATTGAGTTAGAAAATAAGGCCTTTTCAACAGGCACAGTGGCTCATGCCTTTTAATCTCAGCACTTTGGGAGGCTGAGTGGACGAATTGCTTGAGCCTAGCCTTCGAGACCAGCCTAGACAGCGTGGTGAAACCCTGTCTCTGCAAAAAATACAAAAATTAGCTGGGCGTGGTGGCGCATGCCTATAGTCCCAGCCACTCAGGAGGCTGAGGTGGGACGATCACTTGAGCCTGGGAGGTTGAAGCTGTAGTGAGCTGTGATCGCACCACTGCACTCCAGCCTGGGTGACAGAGTGAGAGCCTGAAAAAACAAAAACAAAAACCAAAAAAAAAAAAAAAAAAAAGAAGGAAGGAAGGAGAGAGAAAAGACCTTTTCTAAAAAACAAATATCCAATTTATTTTTGAAATTGTTTGTGCCCTTAGTATTGTAAAATTGACAGTATGTCTGACTAAATAAGGTATATATATTAAGACCTTTTCCAATGGACTACCATTTTATGTGGTTGCTTCTTTCCTGCTCTCAAAATATATTTTTGTAAAACTGAGAAGTTAAATAATGTTTGAAGGGAGCTTTGCAGATTAAAAAAAAAAAGGTTACCAGAGAACACTGTGAAGGGTGTACGGCAGCAGTCCCCAACCTTTTTGGCACCAGGGACCAGTTTTGTGGAAGACAATTTTTCCACAGACTGGGGGCAGCGGGGATGATTTGGGGATGATTCGAGCACATTACGTTTATTGTGCACTTTATTTCTATTATTATTACATGGTAATATGTAATAATTAAAAAAATATATATATATATATATTTTTTTTTTTTTGAGATG